TAGCAAATAAATACATGAAAAAATGTTCAACATCACTGGTCATTCGAGAGATGCAAATGAAAACAACGCTGAGATTCCACCTTACTCCAGAAACAATGGCTGGTATCATGAAATCAACCAATAACAAATGCTGGCAGGGCTATGGGGAAAGAGGGACCCTGCTCCACTGTTGGTGGGAGTGTAGACTGGTTCAACCACTGTGGAAATCAGTATGGAGATACCTCACAGAACTAGGATTGAAAGTCCCATTTGACCAAGCTAGTCCCCTGCTGGGGATCTTCCCCAAAGAATTAAAAGAATCATACCACAGTGATACAGGTGCACCCACGTGTATAGCAGCACAATTTGTAATTGCTAAAACTTGGAAACAGCTCAAATGCCCATCAACTGGAGACTGGATCAAGAAAATGTGTTTTGTAAAAAATAAAATGGAGTACTACTCAGCCATAAAAAATCAGAAATTAAAGATTTATATTGAAATGGATGCACATTGAGGCGATACTCTTAAATGAAATAAACAGGATGCACAGGTGTAAATACCGAATAGTTTCTCTAGTGAGAAAAACTGGAAGTGTAAATAAGGACTAAAAGGTATAAAAAATAATGTGAAATAGGAATAAAAGGTTCATATGGGAAGGGGAAGTGGGAAAGTAGGGGAAAGGAAAGAAGGGAATGGAAATAACATGAGAAAATGAAAAAATGGAAACAAAGTCTTTGTAAATATGGAGGGATGGAGGGTTTGAAGGGCCAGCAGGGGTAGAGGGAAAAATAAGAACCAAGAGAGATTATGTAAAGGTGCACATTTCCAGTGATGAATGTCATTATATTGTATACCTGAAATATACCAATAAAATAAAATTTAAAAGTTGAAAAAAAAAGAAATGTATTGATTACAGTTGTAGATGCTGAGAAGTCCAAGCTGTAGACACTGGCAAATCGGGTATCTGTTGAGGGCCTCTTCCTCACTGATGGCCAGGAGCTCAGCGGAGCCTTCATGACTTTGTGCTCCCAAAGGCAGTCAATCTTCATGCTACAACACTGGCTGTTAGTTACCAGCATGTGAAGTTTGGAGACACCAACCTTCTGACGATAGCAGCTGTACAAAGTGGGATATGGTGATGCTTATGTCCTGAGTTGTATATTTTTAAAAAGAAGCTGATCTTATTTTTAAATATGGTCTCTCTAATTAATTACAAGCATGCACCACGATGCCCAACAAGACCATATTTTGTTTATTCATCCATTCATCTGTCAGCAGACATTTGAGTTTCTTCCATCTGTTGATTAGTGTGAATTTATTTTAACTTCAAAATGGGGATATTCTGATCAATTTCAGGGCAAGAAGTTGCCTTATCACCTTGGAGATGATGCAGAGGAAGGGGAAGTTTCCGATGAAGACAGTGCGGATGAAATTGAAGATGAGTGCAAGTTTAAACTTCATTATGTGAGTCACAGGGTTGGCCATGTATTTTCTCTTCAGTGTACTGCAGTAGAATTGGGGTTCCAAATTTGTGCTGCATGAAATCTTCATAAATGTGGCTGCTGCTGTGTAAAGAGAATATTTTTCAAAAAGTATTTAATGTACTGGCACACAGCCACTCAATTTGTTGAATAAATCAGTCATGGGTTCTTATGCCTTAGAATCGGGAGGAATGTTAGTGAGTAACTCATCTGATCCCTCTTTAGAGACAAATCCCTTTCTATTGCAACGTGGTTAAAAATCAAATTGTGGTTGGAAACATCAGTGTCTTTAATATGTAACCTGGCTTTAGCACTTCTTTCCCTATCTGGTACCTATATGGTGGCTCAAAACCCCAGCTGCACTAGCTGCAGCTTCTGTCAGGTACCCATCTCTTCCCTAAGAAAATATACCTTGTGCACCAGGCTTGGTGTTGTACACATATGATCCCAGCACTCGGGAGGCTGAGGCAGGAGGATTGCCATGAGTTTGAAGCCAGCCTGAACTACAGAATGAGATCCTGTCTCAAAAAAAAAAGGACCTTGGCTCACGGGATTTCTCAGCCCTTCCTGCCATGAGACACATGGCTAAATGTTTAACTTGCCCTATCTTCAAGAGGCACAGACTGCTTAGTTACCCTTCTGGGGATTCAGACCACTTTCCTAGATCATTGAGCTGGTATTGCAGCAAAGCACCATTTAACTGTGATCCCAGAAGTGTAAACCTGGGAGGAACATAAGGCTTTAAGGGATGCACCTCCCTCCCACACTGTATAGCTCCTGTGATTGCCAGAGCCACAGGACAACCAGAGTACCATGGGCTTTGTTACAGTGTCTAGCATCTCATTTCTATATAAAAATGGTATTCTTTTGGACTTCAGGATTGTATTGTGTCTTATTGTGTCTTTTGAAGAAACAGATGCATTTTGTATGAATTCTCCTATTTTAAACTGTTGCCCTGTGTTTAATGATTGTATTGTTAACACCAACTTGCTCTCTTCTAAGTTATTCTAACTGTGATGACTTGCTTACACGTGTCAAAGGGAGTTGGCATTATTTTCCTAGGGGACAAGAGCATAATTACAACTGGCCTCAGTAAATACTTCTTTCTTAGTTTTTATGCCCTTTAACAAGATGAAGTAGAGAAGATTCAGCTTGAAATGGAAAGTGAAAATTGTTATCTGTATTACGCTTTTGCCTTTTAATAATTTATATTGGCTCAGTTAAATACCCCTAACTAACAAGATGATGGTTACATAAAAATCTAAACAGATTTACAGAACTGAAAATATAGTTAATATTTTAGTTTCTTATTTGCTGTCCTAGATATTTGCCATTTTTGTGAGGAATTACTTAAAATTATGGATACTTTAACTTCTTTAGCCTTATTTCATAAACCAGATTTTTCTCTTCGATTATCACTATTTTGCATTTTGTTTCCCAGGTTTCTTGGTTGCCAGCCTCAGAGTAGTCTATCACTTGGGAGCAGGAAACACAGAGGCTCCACTAAGTTACATGGTTAAGGAATGCTGTTTTTATTCAAAGTGGAGTGGTAGAAATTTAGCTAGTGTCACAATGTAGCCATTTATTGCTCAGAATGTAAACCAAGTTGTTTTAGTTCCTAAACATACTCAGTTGTATCATTTTTCTTCCAATGTCTCCGGTCTTCTAATTTTCTAAGGTAAACATTTGTAATTATGAAATTCCATTGAAAGCTAGTTGTATTTGTGGGAGCGAAGCAATAATTCCACCATTGAAATGTCTAGCTGAGCTCCCTTCATGTTCAGTCTTTTGATTGATTTCTAGGCACCCAAATAAGTAGTTATTTCATAAAGATAGATACTATCTTTCATTTGGCCTGAGAGAAAGTGGAGAGCACCTTACATGTAAGGGTTACATATATCTTTTTGTTGTACTTTGGGAGAGAAGAATACATAAAGACAACATTTTAGTGAAAATATACAAATTTTTTGCTCTACCTTTTGAAAACATTTTCTCTTTTGAGAAAAGGCAATGCTATGTTTAGAAAGCCAAAGTATTTTCTTACACTCAGTCAGTTTACATCCCATTGTCAGCATGGAGCTCAAACGCCTTACCTGGGTGATGAAGTTAAATATGCCTGATCATATTTCTGCAAAAGAAGATAAACTGTGCATTGTTTATGTGAACCAATAATTATCTTACAGGAAGCTCTTACCTCAGTTTTAAGTTAACAGAATAGGTTATATTTATGTTATATCTGAATTATTGCAATAAATAAAGATTTTAACTTAGCATTCATGGACATTGGAACACTCACTCTCATGAGGTTATGTAAGATTCTTTGTGCATTCAACAAGTTTTTCCTGAGCATCTGCTGTAGCAGATGTGCTCATCAGCACTGTAGGTGTTGGGGGATATATGAAAATAGACAAAAGCCTTCTCTTATTAGGCTAGTCCATAGTATATAAATAGCAGTTGATGGGAGAAGATAGACAAGAAAGAAGGCATGGCCTGGGGATGTAGCTTAGTTTCGCCACGCCTGTCTGGCAAGCGCAAAGTCTTGAGTTCAATCCTCAGTACCAAAAAGGAAAGAAACAAGGTAAATGCTGTTAAGTAAGACATATCTTAGATAGTGATAAGTACAGAAGGGAGAAAGTGTGTGTGCGTGCATGCACGCATGTGTGTGCATATGCTTTCATGTAAGTGTGTGTGAAGAGTCTACTGACATTTTAGATGGCATGTCTAGGAAAGACCTCACAGAGGAAATGTGTGTAAACAAAGACCTGAAAGTAATGAAGAGTTAGCTATGCTAATTCCTGGCGAAGAATGTTACAGGTAAAGGGAACTCAAAGAAAAGCCCCAAGCAGGATTTGTGGCTCACCTAGCGCTACCCTGGTGTTAGCAAAGCAGGAATCAGGATTCCTCCTAATCCCTAAGTAAGCTATTCAAACCACATTTTAAGTTTTTGCTTAAAAGGCAATAAATGCCTTTTGTTGTTGAATTAATTGAATTCTTTAAGCTTCTGCCTCATATTATTTTGTGGGTTCAGCTGTAGAGAAAACCTGGCCCATGATATGTAAGCTATAAGGTGAAGTCCGAGTGTTTAGTGACCCAGGAGTCACAGCTCAAAGATACAGGAAATAATTTCCTTTCAACAACAGTACAGTAACCTAACATTTGATTCAGAGCAGCCAGCTCACCGTTATTCATCTTCATAGGACCCTCTAATGTCAGTGTGCCTCATAGACTTTCCACCCCCATATTTCAACTTTACTGATTTTTCCACCCTTCTACTGAATTATTCAATATCTTTTTTCTTGTACTCTCTGAATATGTGTTTAGCCAGCCTCTCAGATGCAAACTTCAGCCCCCTGTCTCCTGCATGAAGCTCATAAAAATCAAGCCTTCCAGTGAGTTCTAAATGAGCCCTAGTACAAATATATGTAGCAACTTTCTTGCCTTACCCTAATACTCTTATCTAAAAGCATGGGTCAGACTTACTAAACATTTTTATCATTTTTCTCCCTTCCTTAGCTAAAGGTTCATTTTCTTTCCCAAGTTACTCATTTTATGCTTTGAGCCATTTAAAGAAAGAGTATGAATCTTGTTAATCTGAAACTTAATCAACACTCATAGAAGGGATGAGTTGTCTCCTGAGATTTTGAGGTCTTGTTACTGAAAATGTCCACTCTGGGACCAAATGCCCAGGTTGTATCCTGGCAGTCAGGAGTAGGGTTGGAGAAGGTAACCTGGAAGATCTCAGAGTTTTTCTAGAACATGATATGACTTGTCCTTGAATAAAAGAGTGTTTTAAGGGAGCCAGAAGAGCAGGCAGGAGACAGGAGAGGAAGGAGAAAATAACACAGACTCAAATAGCTGTAAAGCAGCCATTCTTCAGTTCATGACCTTGAAGAATGGGCTTAGATCACATTCATCACTGGGAATTTGTACCTGTCATAATATATCTTGATTCTTGTTTTCCCTCCATTCCCGTTCCTTCTCATCCACCTCTTCCTTCCTCCCTATTTACAAAAACTTTGTTTCCATTTTATCCTTCTTTAATGGAAAAAAAAAGAAATGGGTTTAGAGAGCTATAAAGCACTTCAAAAAGCAGCTAATATGTTATTTCTTCTATTGTCAGACTCTACCCTAAAGGAGGGGCATTTTGGGATGTTAAAGTATTCTAGCTTTCTTTTTTCTTGTTTTTTAAATTAAATTTTATTGGTATACTTTTTTTTCCATTAAGTTTATTGGTACGTTGTAGGTATAAAGTACAGTTACATTCATCATTAGGATCTTGTACCTTTGCATGATGTATCTTGGTTCTTATTTTTCCCCTTCCCCTGCCCTCCCTTCACCCTCTCCGCCCTTCCCTATTTGCAAAGACTTTATTTCTATTTTTTTTCCTTTTCTCATATTTTTTCTTTTCCCTTCTTTCTTTTCCCCTACACTTCCCACTTCCCTTGTTCCTTTAGACCTTTTCTTCCTATTATACAATATCAATTATACATTTTTAAAATTACAATATCAAGATCTAGAAGACATTACCACAGATTTTACAGAATTTAGAAGGATATAGAAAGCATATTACAAAAATCTTTTTTGAAATAAATTTGACAACTTCTATGAAGTAAATTGGAAGACAAATTAATGAAACTAACTCTGGAGGAAATATAAAATTTGAAAAGCACCTATTAAAGAAGTACATTCCTAGCTTGAAAGCCTACCTATATGACAACAACAGGCTCATATATATTTTAACTGGTAAATTATATCAAACATTTAAAGCAGAAAGAAAAAAGAACACTTCTCCCCTCATTTTAGGAAATCAACATTGTGCTAATAATAAAACTGGATAAAGACAATAGAAGAAAAAAGTATGAACACAGATAAAAATTTGTTTAACAAAACAAACTATTAGAAGTCAGATCTGGCAGGATTTTTTTTTGGTACCTGGGATTGAACTTGGGTCCTTGTGCTTGCGGGGCAGGCGGCGGAAGCACT